TAATGTGGGGAAACGTTTTTTTTTAAATGTGTTGAGGGTATCCGAGGGCGTCGCCGATTGCTTACCATCAGGTAATCTGACAGCTTGTTTGCCGTATTATCACTTAAAAAAATACTTTCCACTCACCTAGCATTCATAAGTGAAATGATTATGTAGGTACCTCATTACAATTGTAACATCTTGACATGACTGTTAACCTCATTGTCAAAATTTTGCGTGTCAAACGACCCATAACTGTGATCATACCGAACAACGGTTTTTTTAACTAAAACCAACGAAGTGTTACACCACAGATCAACAAACTTTTACAGTTAATTTGTTTTTTTCTTAAATATGTCACTGTTTCTTTACTATTTTTTTATTTTCAAGTCGGGTATAAAGGAACGAGCCGAAAGCCATATACTACAGGGCCAATTTTGAGAATAGCTGTTGATTAAAAAATAATGCATAATCAGTTATTGGTTTAACAAATTCAACTTGTTTCAAGTCATACTAGGGGTCCATTTATGAGTATCGATTCACGACGCAAAAGACGTCGTAACCTGTTCTACAACCAACTAGATATGTTGATTAAGATTTTCAGAATAACTGCAAACTCAAAGCCAAAGCCAAATCACATAGGTATATTCCAACTAAACCATATAAAGGTAGTTTTGAAACGACAAATTCGAATGGGTAGCAAATAGCTTCACTAAAAGGACTGGCCGACAGACTGACACTTTACTATCTTTAAATTTTGTTTGACGTTCAAAAGTGCCTGTAAGGGTCTAATTGAAATAAATGATTTTTGACTTTTTGACTGGAAAAACTACCAAGAAATTCCATCGTTAATCTTTTTAATCAGCAATTGGATGTTTTTATAATTGTGAAGTTATTTTTGATAACATTCAACCAAATCTGACTAAGAAATTGTACCTAAATAAAATAAAAAAGATAAGATACGAAAAGTGTAAAAAAAACTTTCCCTGACCTACATAGTTAACTGAATTGGCTTTAAAGCTAGTAAAAAGGCACTAATTAGTAACATAAGTCCATTTTATAAATGTGGGAGAAATACTAAATGCTGCAAATACCTAACAGCCCACGACTGGCAGGCAACCCACTTGCAACTGCTTTAGTGTTCAGTTATCCATGGGCGGCGCTAATTGCTTTCCATCAGGTAATTCGTCAGCTCGTTAGCCGAACTATCTCATAAAAAACATGCGCTAAAATTGCTAATTTTTCTTAAGCTTAGCAGTAGTATGAACTCGACTTTAGCTTGATTTAGAAACCAGATTCAGACAATTAGGTTTAAAGTACATAATATGAGATAGTATTATTAAATAAATACATAATGACAAAGTTTACCATCATGATGAATATCTTCATCTATACTAATATAATAATATATCTATAATAATAATGCAAAAGTAACTCTGTCTGTCTGTCTGTCTTTTCTTCACGCCTAAACTACTCAACCGATTTCTGTGAAATTGGGTACAGACATAGTTTGGAACTCGAAAAACGACATAGGATAGTTTTTATACCAAAAATCTGCAGGTAGTCACTATTCTACGCGAACGGAGTCGCGTGCAAAAGCTAGTATGTAGAATAATAGAGAAAATAATGTAAATTGAATTTATTTTTTTCATCATCAGCCTCTAAGTGCCCATTGCCGAATATAGGATCTCGTCTAACACGTAGAAAGTCTGAATGCTAATCATCAGGGTAGATTTGTGATTTCAAACTAATAATTAGAAACTATAAACTCAGGTTTCCTTCACTGTTTTCCAATGGTGCCTAATTAATATTAGACATATGTACATATAACTCGGATAAAATCATTGGTACTTGATAAGTTTCAAACCCTCATGCATGAGAAGTTCTATGTCATCTACCCAATTACACAAATAATCACGCTGCATGAAAACAGTTTTGTTTAAGAACTTCTTGACGAAAACTTAAAGAAACATTGTAAATGTTGTCCAGTCATCACAGATTACTTTAAACCATTCAAATGCTAGTCATACTCGTAGACAGATGTAAACACTGATTTATCTAGACCAAGTGTAACTACATAATTATAAATTTCACTTCTTTCTAAACATTTCCTTCGAGATTGCACGGCAACGTGCGTGTTTGTTCAAAAATAATTTCTATAATCCGCTCTGTGGTTGAAAGTAAAGCAGAACTTTGTGCTTTCAAGAAAATTGTTGGGTATAGTATTTTACTCTGAACCTGATACTTGATATTTACGTAGTTATTAAAGACTTTGTTTATTTTATTTATGTTTTTCCACAAGTTATGCACGATAGTTCCCTTTCTTTTTTCTTGAATAATATTTCTCTTCGCTAGTATTTTGTTCTACGTTGTGGGTAATTTTACAAACATACAAATTCGATAAAGGTTTGGATTAACAACTAGTGAATCACAAAGAGTCCATGGGCGGCGCTGATTGTAATCCGTAGGCTCGTTTGCCGAACTATTACATGAAAAAAAGAATTGCTTCATAGCATAGTAACCGGTTGCTGAGCCACTGCGTTTAGAATTCCGTCATAAGTGACCTCTTTTATGGGATTTAGTTTTGGTAGATATGTAAGAGAACTGCAAAAGATAAATCACACCCAGACCAGATGTAGGTACCAGTTTATCAATTGCTTTAAAAATTTTGTATCTTGATAGCCCGGAGGTTAGGCTGAACCTGCCAAGTACTAATGTGACTTTTTCCGAGTTATTATGTACTTTCTATGATTATTTAGACCCTACTGACATACGGTGAAGGAAAACATCGTAAGAAAACCTGGAATTCTAATTTCTAATTATACGTTTCAAAACGCCAATCCGCCTTGACCAAGCGTGGTGATTAATGTTCAAACCTTCTCCATGTGAGAAAAGGCCTTTGCTCAGTAGTGGGCACTTATAGGCTAGGGGATGATGTGATGTGATGTGTTAAAAATTTTTCCATTTACGAATCAAACCGGCGAGATGCTGCATAGAAGGTGGTCGCCCAGCCTTACAACAATATTGCTTTCGTTTCCAAACACTATTTAAAATAAACCTTTAAAATTTTCAAAAACTAACACAATTGAAAAATTACTTCTTTACAAACTTTGAAAAAGTTATCTATCATTATAATTTCCCATTTATCAAAGTTGCACTTTTCAACTTCGAGCGAAATTGATCAGAAACCCATTCAACTGGTTGGTACTTTAAGCTGGGTGAGATTAACCAACTCTCGTTATAAGGGCTAACCAGTAATCAATTTGTAAGAGGGCTTTTAATTTTTAAATATTTTTGTGTTTGTTTTAAAACAAGTGTGAAAGAGCTATGTTTCGACACGTTTAGATTGGCTTGACAGAATACCGTCATAGAACTACGCTTGCTACACGTGTTGCTACGTGAATGATTACCAGACGTCTAATCTTTTACACCTCATCCTCAATCTTAACCTACAAAATAACAACAACGCACTTGTGATTTCTTTGGCCCATGGTTGGCGCCGATGGCTTTCCATCAGGCAATTCGTCTGCCCGTTTGTCATTCCTAATAAACAGTAAATTTATTTTTATTTCTAAGAAGACTTTCAGTCGAATGGTCAAAGGTGTTACAATCTAGAACAGGTCGTTTGGACACTACTTATAAATTATCAGGGTGTATTGAGTTCGACTGAGTCCAAATTACATTTTGAGAATACAATTTACGGGTTGTACGAAGCCTAGAATGATGCCCAACCTGGGAGTACACCTACTTGGTTTCTTACACAATTTGACATCACCTTTACTTCTAGTGAGTACCTCCAGAATGCTTGCGAAAATGAAAACGCCTTGGCATGTACTTGAAATTTTATTTCTCAAAACACAATAACAGTTTATTCCTACAAATATTTGAAATAAACACACTTAAAAGCGATAAACTGAGAGAGTACAACGAGAACTATCACCACTTTAGTAACAAACAGAACAGAATTAACTTTTCCAAAAGCATTTTGCTTAAAACATGGCAAAACGCCTCAAGGCGAACTGACCAAATGTCTCCTGGATAGGTCGCAGCTGTTCTCGGCTTCCCGTAATTAAATTTGCCGACCCAATCTTTCATTAAAAATAATTAATACCGTATTACTTAAGAATTTTAAGTAGATTAGAATTTTACGTCAAAAAATGTTGTATTTTCATCATTAGCTGTTGATTTAGAAGATTTCATTTGTCTCTTGTGGTCCAGTGGGATAGAAAAAAGGAAATTATTGAGTTTAGTCTCTGAAGAGGTCAAAAATATCATATTTAACTTTTGTATAAACAGTATTAATCTTTCAACATCGCCCACTGTTTAACCAGACAGGGCTATCTCTGGTATTTGAACATCAGATTTTTGAACTTTATTGATTATAGAATTCTTCGTATTACACAGTAATTAGCATCTAACATTAACAAACTCATGACACACACGAATTCAAAGCAAGTTCTTTTAATCATCAACAATTAAAAAAATGACATCTTAAACCTGTAGTACTAGCATAAAAACCCAGTACAAGACTAGACACATAAAATTTCGCTTATCGTTAAACTTTACAATGATCAAAACTTCGCGTCTGCATAATGGCCTATAAATAAAGGAATACAGAAACTTGCTTTGTACTCGGCTATAAAGGAAGTCTTATTTTATGCCTAACCGAGGTAAAAGAATAAACAGATACTGCCGATCGTAAAGAGTTTTATCCGATTATACAAAGTTTGGTCAGACTGATTTGTGGGGAACATTGAAAATCCGATCTTCAGTATCAGTTAGGACGATTCATTTTTAATTAAAGTGAATTGGCTATATTTATGGCCATTGCTGCTTTTCCAAAATTACGTATGAATATTGTTTCTGCTTTATTTTTAAAATCTGATAAAAAGTGAAATAAGTCTTACCTTGTTAGGTTCTTATTATTGGAACTTCAATTACTAATTGGTTTTTCAGTATAATAAACAACCACACTTGTATTTTTTTTATTTTAAATCTTATCTTAATTAATTTTGTTCCAGCCTACACGATGACATCACACATGCCAGTACTTCTCCGCACCATCCTACTACTAGTTACAATTCAAAACATCCACTCACTAGAAGACGGGTACCTCCGATACGTCAAAGATGGCTGCTTTCTCAGAGGCGAAGCATTATCCTGCGTCAAATATAAAGCCGTAAAAATAGCCAAAAATGCTATATTCGGAGATAACTTTAGTAAAAACGAAACAATTAAAGCTAATAATGTAGTCAGTCTTGTACCTTTAGATGAAGAAACAATTGAAAAACTCGGAATCAAAGAGGATAAAGAAGCTAAGGTTGTAGCCAATGAACCAAGAGGATTTTTGTCAGAATGGGCGGAGCTTGCAAAATATGTTATGAAGCTAGTCCAAGAATTTTTCAAGGTCAAAGGATTGAAAGTGAATCTGCCTGAAGGAGCTAGAACTGTTGAAGAAGTCGATGATAGCGGTGAGTTTGTTTCTTTATATATTTAACACTAAATTAATTTCAAAATATGACTAAGATACTTCTTAAGAGATACAATAGGGTAATCAAAAACCACTTTTGCTTTTCTGGTTCATATAATTTGATTGAACGGTATTCGATTCGCCTGGAAAGGTATTACTAGATCAAAGAATAAAGTCTTATGACCTACTAAGTCTCTTTTACTTTCTAAATTAAGATGGAATATAAATAATTTTTCTTCATGCATACTTTCTTATTTTAACAAATAATTATACGTAATAATACCTTGGCATTCGCAATGAATGTCAAGGTTTAATTGTTTAACCATCTCTTGTTGTTAGTTTACATAGATGTATCATCACCGCATTGTAGATTCGCTCAGTTCATTTAAATGTTTGCCTCGTTCATGATGTCACAAACTCAAGTTGACCAGATCATTAAATTGTCTACATTACATAACTTTGTCATCGACATTTCATAAAATCGTAACAGGCTTATTTCCACCACTTCTTACTAACTTCTCGGAAAATTAAGAAGGGAGAACTTTAGTGTTTTAATTTCAACTGGGGATTATCATGTCGCCTAAGTGATGTGCAAATCATGATTTAAAGGCAAACCCATTTGTTAAGGTTAATTTTTAAAACTACGACATATTAAATAGTAGTAGATTATAAAATAAAATAATATATATCCATCCTTATCACATTAAACGTTAAAAATTTCACAGAAAAAACCCAGAAGTTAAAATTATTTTACAGTTTTAAGAACTTTTGCACAACATGGTTTTCATTCAAAATCCGAAGTCGAAAATTGTGGAAACTGCTGAACCGGTTTTCATGATACTTGGTACTCAAGAACAAAATCTGTGATGGAAACATCCGAAAAACTTTTTAATTAAACAGTCAGTCGCAATTTTATGTTTGTATTAAAATATACTACACCTCTACATATTATAAAATTGGCTCTCCCTGTCTTTCAAATACTTTCTGGAAAATCAGTGATTTTTTACTTAAAACTTGTTTTTCAATTTATTTATTTGCGACATTTTCGCATCGAGCCGGCCTTCACAAGTTCATCACTCAGAAGCAACTAAGTACTTTTACGGAGTACAAGCATTTCACGACCTTATTGATTATTATTGAGAAACGAGGTCAAAATGTAAACGTACAAACATTTAATAAGAATCAAAATACGTTGACAGACAAGCTAATAGTAAATTCGTTTGTTCTGTCAAAGGCGTACTTTGAGTGGCCTTGCTCACCCAACGTGTAACTACATAGAAAATTATACCTCATTATGTTTGGTGAAACCAGTATTACTTTTAATTCGTACGTTGATACTTTGCAGACTTTTGTGTTAGTAATGTAGGAGTAGGTTTGTCTGTGGTATTTTTATTAGATTCTTTAATTATTTTGATAAAATTCGCATACAAAATGTTATTATTAAATGGGTTCCATATTAAAATTAACACAATTATACATATACTATAACGATTGATTAGGGAACGAAATTATACGTTATTCTAATCATTGCATTACCTGAAAAATCTTCACAATTAAATTTTGTTCTCGCTTTTAGTCAGCAATTGCTGAATGGTATGCCAAATTGTAGATAATAAAATCTAGCATTTGCATCTAAGGTACAGTCAGGGGTCAAAAATGCAATTGCACTCTACCAATATTAAAATGACCAAAATATCTTTGTGGAATAGAGTTAATGGTTGAGGACTGCTTTAATTTATAGCATACAATCTAAATTATTGAATAAACTGGCTGTGAACCATTGAACTTTTACTACAAAAAATTTTTGTGAACGATTGAACTTTTACTACAAAAAAATTTTTGGAAAAAATTGGTATGGTGGTGTAATATTGTATGGTGGAATGCTACTACACCGAATTTTTTTTTGTTCGTAGGTTACTATGTAATGAATAGATAACTTGAATAAGAAATTCGCGTCCCACTTTACTAGCCATTCACAATCCAATAAATTTCCTCAATCTTTAAGCTTAGGAAGTGGGCTACACATCGATCGCAATGTAAAATATGCATTTCTGTCAGGGAGTATTTTAGTCCGTTTTAAATGCGCAGTCTTTTAATTGGTTCTAGCGACGTCTGTGAATAGGTATAATGTTATAAATATTGTATAATAAATAAAAACTTGGATAATTAGTTTAGAACATTTTACAAAAACAACTGTAGTCGGCGTAAAAACTAGTATAGAATTATGTTTGACACATTTCTTTGATTCATTACACTACAGATTATAACCACGATAAACGTTGATTTAATTTTTATTTATTGTGTTTATGTTATACTGTGTGGTTACACGAATGACCTTGAAAGCTTTAATATTCATGATAATCAAAGAAAATTGTATTTTAAATGTTGTAGTAAAAAATATGAAATATGGAATAACATTAAGATTGTCTAAAACAGATTTTCTTAAGGGGGGGAATCATCAAATGACTTCTCCCACACTTAATGAGGTGAGAGGGATTGTCAGACTAACTAAAATCAACCTATACCTTCTGCTATTCCCTCTTGGTCGCTAGTAGGCCTCATCTGTGATGATACAATTATTTTTTTAAAGCGCGCGAAATACACAGCTCCACACTTGGACGTGATTCTGACCGGACGGCCTACCCCTGCTCGCCATCTGCTTACAGTACCCAAGTGACTGGAAATTGTCACTCGGTATTTTCGTCGTCCTGAGATAGAGAAAGATAATGACACATTAATTCTCACACAAATCCATTGAAACCATGTCGATTAATTTACGGGGATCTCACAACGATCACACTTAATTTTATGATGTAACATTATAACATTAAACAACTTACCTAAGTAAGCACATAGTATGATAAGGATCTTTTCATATTTTTCGCCATCATTCGTGATCTTACGTGGCCCACCAATTTTAAATATTTTCGAAGAACATCAACTATTAAATCGATATTATTGCTACGACCTTCTTGCTTATTCAAGGACATGTTTATTGAGCCCTTTGAACTACGTTTCGACTAAGTTCATAATTAGTTTATCTTTACCCTAATTTTTTTACTTCTTTATATCGAGCTACTTTCATCAATATATTTAAGTTTTGTAAATTCATTGGCGCCTAGACATAGACTTCTGTTTCTAGTCTCTTTCCCTTTTCTACTGCATGATGTCAACAGTAGAAATTTCAAGTGCATTGTAATAGCTAAATATTATCTCCCTCAAGATCCCTTTAAGACAAAAGATTGCCAAAAACCCTTTCAAAATCCAACCAACCTTCCTCAAACTATTACTTAAAAGTAAAAACAAAATTATTTATTGAACGTCAAACATCTAATATTTTGGGCAACCTAGATTCTGGATACAAAATTAAGTCTTTCCGACTGATGCACAAACTAATGGAGTGAACCAATTTATAAGGGTTCGCAACTATTTACCAAAAGTACCCTAATAAAAAGTTAGCCTACATGTTCCGAAGCCTCGTGGTCAGATACTTCTACCACAAAAGGCGTAGGTTACAGAAATTTTACGGGATCTAAATTTTAAGGGTTCTAGTGTGAACCAGGATAAAATAGGCTTACAATATTCTGAACATTTATTTTAGTGTGTTTCATGGTCTAGTTTCTTTCGTAGTATTATGCTTTAGTTGCACAAACATCTTTCATTATAATGTTAAATATTTTTGTGTCAGATTTTAGGAGTCTTTAACAGTGCATAGACATTCATTAACATTCATAATTCAATAAAATAGTCCCCTACTTCAAAAGGCAGATATTTGATGAATAAAAAGTGTACTTACAAAAATCGTACACGATATCACAAAGCCCTTTTTGCAAACCTAAAAGAAAAAAAAGCATGTGTAAAAGTGTGCATGAAAAGAGAGTCTACTGTAATATTCATACATCCTGACTCTCATCATGATCATCTTTGTGAAAAACTGTCTGTCTGTCCGAAACCAGGCTTGTCATACGGAGAAGGTTTTAGCATTAACTATCACACTTGCGCAAGGCGGATTAGCGATTTCAAACTTATAATTATACCTTTATGTAATTCTAGATTTCCTCACAATGCTATTTCACTGTATGTTAGTGGTATCTAAATAATCGTATCTGGAATAGGAACAACGCTCGCTCAAAGTGTTTAGGTGAATTTAACTTTTAATCAGCAAGGTTTTAGTCAGAAAGTGTTTGTGTAAGTGTCACTGCCCCTCATCTCTCACTGGAAAAAGTAGTTGGAAGATTTTTGGCCCAAAAAGCGGCACTAGGGGAACACTCATGTCTACAGTTACAAATAAAATGTTTAAGAATGTGAACATTATTATTACACTAACTATAGTTCAATTTCTATAGTTCTCTATTTCTCTCGCTCTAGAAAATACCTTTGTATATATTTAAGTAGGTACCTAACATTTTAGTAGACCCTTAGTGTTTATTTTGTAACCTAAAATTACAAGTAGTTCGCTCGTTAATTAAACTAATTAAGTCTAACTAGTTTTCCGTTTCTAAGAACAAACGAAATGCAAACAAGTCTAGTAACATTTCCTTTATAAAATAAATAATTTCTTTTGAAACTTTAAAATTGAAAATATAGAAAATAAATAATATCATCGTTATAAAATGCTATTTTAGTATCACGATGGTCGTGTTTCATTAATAAGGGTGTTTCGTTAATTAGGATGTTTTTTTGTTGAGTATTTTGCAACAAATTTGTATATTATAAATATTTACTAATATTTCGTTTTAAAGCTTTAATCCCGTGAATCTGTGGTTCGAATGGAAATCACATTTTGTGTTAGATAGTTAATTTATTAAGGAAGATTATTAAATATTACGTTATCGCCAATGAAAGCCGAGCATTGGGCGAAACCGCTTACAAAACTATTCTATGTCAGTACCATTATCATGAATTTCAACATTTTTATTAACAAAACATTAATGCATTCACACCAATCCCGGGACCAAAGTTTTTGGCACTTTTATAACCTATATATAAAACAGTAATTCAATTTTACAAATTGCTGATAACTACAAAATACTTTTGACGCACTTGACCTTGTGTATTCACTTTGTCCTTGATCTTCAATTTGTGGGATAACCGCATTTCGCGATTTTCTGAGTTAATTTAACTGAAGTTCGCGATAGTAATTACAAAAATATGTAATATTGTCATTTGAATGCAATTTTAACGTTACTTGTTTTTAATCCCACACAAAGCCACGTAGGTATACACAGACAAAAACTGCTTGCATAATCTAGAAAGGCTCGTGAGCTTGACTACACCACCAAGGAACTAATGAAAAGAAAACGCCTAACCGAAATGTAATACTATTAAATATGCCATTTAACTTCAGCTGAACAATGCCAATAACTATACAAGAAAACTGATTTAACAATTTACAAAAGCATCGTTAGTATTTACAAAATAATGATTTCCCTTGTAAATGACAGAGGCAGTTCATATCGGAAATTAAAGTTCTCTAAAAACAAAGTTACAATGAATCCTTTGACAAAGATGCCCAATTATTAGAATTGGCTTAGAAAGGGAATTATGAGGTTTATGGGTGGAGGAGGAGGAGGAAAGGGGTGGTTACCAGCTTTTAAACTTTTGCTTTTCATATTTACAACATATAGTTATTAACAACGCGGATATTAACAAGCAGTGTGGGAGAGCCATGCTTCGGTACGAATGGGTCGGCTCGACCGGCGTGATATCACGGCCTCACAGAAAACCGGCGTGAAATAACCACAGCGTTGTGTTTCGCCGTAGGAGTGAGGTTACCGGAGGCCCAATCCTTCCCCTTCCCGGACCCTTCCCCAATCCCTAAATCTCCAAATCCCTAATCCCTAAAAAGTCGGCAACGCACCCGTAACTCCTCCGTTGTGGGTGTCCATGGGCGGCGCTGATTGCTTACCATCAGGTAATCCGTCTGCTCATTTGCCGACCTTATTACATATATAAAAAAAAACGCAGACTTCAGACAGTCTGCTTGTGACCACGACCTGTGCAACTGGGTCGAAACGTCAAGCCTACCAAGGTATTTAAACAATTATTTTCCGCGTTAATATTTGCGTAACTATATGTTGTAAAGGGGTGGTTTCTATTGAGTAATATCTCATACTCCCTGTAGCGACATCTATCGCACAATATGCAGCAACAACACTAATCACGTGCAAGATCCTACATCGTGGTATGAAAGTTCTTGGCGCAATTAGAACAAGTACAAAGGCCCTACAAAAACTGTAGGGAAATGGCTCACCAGGTACGATCACCTCGCCTGGTCGGAGGTAACCCTTCACCGAAATAAGGGAACTGGAATGGAACTGGACTGGAATCTATTCCCTAAATTCTCTTTCGCCCCAACTAGAGAGGGAGAGAGGTCATCGGATTCTTTTCCAAACTTAAGAATAAAGACTTTATTCCATGAGGGGTAGATGTTATATTGATTCAACTCGTGATTGTCCTTGGGTGCACTTTCATAGTGCATAAAGAGATAATTAAGGGATACCACATTACACTCATATTACAGTTCGGCCCCTCAGATGCCTTTCAAAGGTCCAGGTTATTGTGGTCCTGTGAAACGAACACACAAAATATAATCAAGATAGAATAATGGGTTGACTGTCTTGCTTACTGTCAAAGTTGTTCATTAAAGTTAATGAAGGGTAAAAATAATTTCCATATTTTTTTTCAGCTACATTGAATTTCTTAGTAATTTCTACCATGTACTTATCAATCTGTGACGTTTTAAATTCTGGTCAAATGATCACTTCGTAAGAATTACATCACAATAATTTGATCAGACAATTACTTAAGAAAACAAAGCACTTCCTAGAATAACAGATTATTGAAATATTTAATAAATTTACGCTATTTATTTTGCGAACAGTTTGGCATAAGTGTCGGTACATTTTAAGTATTATACATTTCTCTTGAGTTGTTGCCATATTTCATTATCATTGACAGCCCTATAAGTGCCTCACTGCTGAGCAAAGATTTCTTCTCATACAGTGAAGGAATGAGCATTAATGACCACGCTTGAAAAACGCAAAATTAGATACAAATATTGTATTCCTGACAGTGTTTTCCTACACCGATTAATAGTGTCTTGATTTTCTAAGAAAGTACATAAACTTGGGAACAATCACTTATGTCACACTGGTCAATACCATTGTTTGAACCAGCAGTCAGTCAGCATGAAAAACGATTCAGGTGCGACCTTTGGGCCACCACATCATAAATCTGCCACAATAAACTCTACACTCCATATACGACGGAATATTAAAGAAAAAGCAAAAATCACCCACCTTTGTGCTCCAGTTTAAAATCGAGACTTCTAACGTAACAGTCAAACTGACGACTCCTCATCCAAAGAATCACTGGAGCAGCAAAAATTCTCTTCAACAATAAAGTTTCAACCTGTCTGATTCAATCGGCTACTTGGTTATATATTGTTTTTGACATTTGTAAGTTGAACGCTCTGACAAACTTTGTTCTAAGTCTTGTTCTAACTTTTCCATTAAAAGCGTGCTGTAGCCCGTGTTTCCATACAAAGTTTGAAGTCCAGAATCATGGAAAATCGGATTTCAATGAAACTTGGCAGCAGACTGACAGATTTTAAGTTTCCACGCTAACTTAAAATACTGGAATGTACAAAGTATGAATTTATAATAATACTGTAGTACATTATTTTGATTTGTCTCTTAGGGTTTGGGTGACCAATGTGTGTGCCAAAAATATGTTTATTTACGACATAATTATATTTCCACTTTTTTCATTTATACTTCCAAATTTATCAGCGTTTCTCTATGAACTCCCGATTGAATTACTTTATCTTTTAAAAAATCATGTTACAAAATTCATTGCGTGTTTGGACAGACAGACTTTGTTTTGATTTTGCGTGTGTTGTTTTCTTTTCATTGGATGGTTTCTCTTGATCTGGGTGGGGTGAGAGGAAGTGTCTATAGTCTGTCAGTGGTTCTGGGCCGGAGCTGCAGTACAACTCGGGTTGTTTGCTTCGTGGCTTAGGTACGACTCCGGCTGAGTAGGTGGTTTTCCAAATATTTCTTAATTACGTTATGACCTTGATATTGCGAAAGTTATTAATTTTTTATGGTTTTCAACACAAAAGTTTGTATGGAAACCCCCGCCACATACACGCTATTAAAGCGTAAACTGGTGTTCTGAACTGATTAAAAATGGATGTGGCTTCACTTATGCTCGTAAACCTGATACTGTTGTTGTGTAAATTGGTGATTTCATGTGTATTCCGGATGGAATAAACAAAGGAACAATTGGTTAATGTGTACAGCTGCTACAATAAGATTTTTTTTTTGTGAGGGAAAAATTATGGAATCACTTCTCTCGCCCTGGGTGAGGCAAGAGAGAGTGTTAGACTCCTAGTGACTAAAAACCTTCCTCTTTTTTGGATAGATCGAAGACGAGTACGCTGCTGGTAAGCACTCGGGTCAGACTTTTAATATTTTATAAAAAAAACATTGTCCTACACAAGAATTTTAACCTGGGTCGTTAGTGCGTGTGTTTACAAACATAAAATTTCGCACACGCATTACACTCAGACCAAAAACAACAAAGAGTTTTTCTGTGTGGAAATAAAAACCGCAATACGTTGCGTGGCAACTAGTTGCCCGGCCACCGCTTCAACCGTGCAGTCAAAATCTACAAGAAACAAGATATGTGTATTAATGTTCAGTAAATCATAAACATACGTCACATGAATAACCTCTCCAAAAAAACCTTCAAGACTCTCAACTTCCTCTTAAAGTGTATTCAGCAGACCTTTAGCACTTAAGGCCCTAACACAGACTGATTTGCTCTTGACCGTGTTTCTTTTAAGGGACGAATACTTTCGAAACCCATCGATATAGGGTGAAAGCACAATTTGCGGTTGCCACTCGCCCACAAGAACAAACAGAGCAAAATAACCACACCGGTAATGATGTCATTCACCCTTTCTTGGTACTGTTTAGATTTGGCGGCCATGTTTGTGTTGAAGCAGAAGCAATTATAGAAGGGATGACATAATGTAATGCGTGTTTTTGTTTGAGTAGTGACCTGATTCACAAATTTGGAACTTATGTCATTTGTAACAGGCCTTATAATGTTATTTGTTGTATTGAAAATATAGGGAAATGATTACTGAAAGTTAAAGCTTTTTTACATTATGTTGAAAAGTAGGTTTTGAAAGGTTAAGTTTTTTTCTAAGCTATGCAAGTACTGATTAATTCAAATTTGTAAAAGTAAGGTCTCATATCATACCGTCGTTTCTCCTGCTTCTGCTCCGAACCAAAATCGCGGTAATTTTTGCACTTTCTCTCTAACCGGCTAGACATAAGCCTTAGGGGTTCCTTAAGCTTCTGTGGTGGATGAGCATGAGCAGGATAGTTCTATTTTTATAAGAAACTATTTTCGCATGCTCAGGAACAAGGATCAAGCACAAAGTAATAAACTGTAGAAATACATGGGCATAATGGTGTGAGTGCATGTCCCAAGTACGTGCCAAAATGGGCACCAGATCAGCATGTGCGTGTACACACACGTGTTTTTTTTTACACACATTTAAAAACGTTACCACAGTTTTATTTTACCATGGGGTACTTGTAAATTCATATAAACAATGAAACTTTTATTCATTAATTTTGTGATATACTTCAAATTCGTATTTAAATGTAACTATTTTTTGCAAAAAATCATAACATTACCACACACCATCCCTTACAAAATTTTTAAATAAGCCTCAAATTGAACATGTATTTGTAAAGTAATACTACAATTTGGAGCTAGAGTAAAAATAATAGGCAAACAAATATTTTCAAAATAAAACAGTACGTTTTCTTTGATTCCCAGATACTGAACACAATGATGGGGATAATACTGGAATTAAAAGTGTCCAGAAACGCGATGTCAGTTATTCTAAGACAGGTGTGTACATTCGTATTATTATAGGCACTTTACTTGTAGATACCACATTGCCTAAATCAGACGATCAATATAAAAACATACAAAATTCAAATGCAAAAAATAAACATGTTATTATTCACCGCAATTTAATAGAATTAAAAAAACACTAAATTATAAAAATACATAAATACAAAGAACGCACACATACAAACATTGATAGTAAGTAATAAAAAAAAGAAATTGCTATTGATCTATTTGCTCAACATTTTGTAACCACAGCAAACATAGAATTCAGAGAAAGTTTTCAAACATTTTTGGCACACCATATACTTGTAGCCAAGCCAACTAGGTGTCAGCTATTTCTCAACTTTTCGACTAAAAATTCAAAAACATTTTCGCTTTGTACCGCGAATTCGTTGGCAGGGAATCTCGCTTAGTAGTTCAACGGAATATGTAAGTGCAATGTATAATCTTTTTACATGCTACCGAATTCATACAATACGTGTAATAAGAATCTAAATTATGCAATATAGAGGAGCCAGAATATAATCAAGGAGAAAGGACATGGCCAACTTTTGTATGGGCGTTTGCATAGTTATTGAATTCAATGTACATCAATGATTTTTGGTGTTTACATTCGTGAATATTATTAAATTAAATTGCAAAAAATAAAACACATGAAGAACTCGTAATTATAACAAACAAGACGAAAATAGTTTCACTAAACCTTTAGTCAGATTACTGGCCATAAGTGCACGAAATAAGATTTTACTTTTAAAAACCATGGCGTTTTAATTATTTATTTATTTATTTATAAAATAAAACAAAAGAATATGTACAAAGAATAATGATTTATTTATTAAGGAGAACAAATTATTTTATTTTATTTTATTTTTTATTTAAGTGTGGGAGAGCCATGCTTCGGCACGAATGGGTCGGCTCGACCGGAGTGATACCACGGCCTCACAGAAAACCGGCGTGAAATAACCACTGCGTTGTGTTTCGCCGTGTGAGTGAGGTTACCGGAGGCCCAATCCTTCCCCTTCCCCCATCCCTCCTCAATCCCTAAATCTCCAAATCCCTAATCCCTAAAAGGTCGGCAACGCACTCGTAACTCCTCCGTTGCGAGTGTCCATGGGCGGCGCTGATTGCTTACCATCAGGTAATCCGTCTGCTCGTTTGCCGACCAATTACATAAAAAAAAAACAAATAAAATAAAACTACGTAATAATTCACTTTTATATTTTTATTGTAAAGTGTATTTTATTATGTTTGTGTATGGAATGTACGTTTCTGTAATATATATTTTGTATAATTGGGTAATAATATGGTAGTACTTTCCATTTGAAGCGGCCTGCTTAAAACAGGTGGTAATGGTGGTGGCTCTGGTGGGCTAACCACTTGAATATAAGGGGCTGCTGCATTGTTGTCCGAACCCAATTCCTGCAACTTTTTCGTGATAAGTCCTGCACTGTCTGTCTATTTGCCCGCATACAGCACACATGACAAACATAGTTGCTTCTTGAGGTCTGAAAATAAACCCCAGTTAGAATAAACACATGTTTTCAAGTTTTATGTTATTGTACAGTGAGAAGTATTATGTTACAACATGCCTATTTTAAAGAAGTCTATGCAAACATGGACAATACATAAAGATAGATATTATGATATTATAATCACACAAACCTACTATGAGTACTTTTTTTATAGATTAATATAGATAAATACAAGTACACATATAAAACAATGAATAAAAAACAAAATGCTTACCACATTAATAGTATTTTGTGATATTAGGCCAGCTAGCAATGGAGAGTCCATACTGACATTATGGTGTCTTATTTTTCGAACCGATTTTCCACAACCAAGGCAAACCATGTTATGCCCTAGTAGTCTTTGTTCACCAGCCTCAGTATTCAATAGTGAGAAGCCTGGTTTTATCTCCAGAGGCAACTGAAAAAAAGATGCACTATTTAAATCGCATACCATTATAAAACATAAAAAAACAGACTAAGTATTATACTATTCGGACTTCATACCTGGATTTGAGCATTGGTTAACCAACGTGAAAGTTTTGTTTGATGGTGTGCAGAAAGTGAGGTTATGAGACGCCTCTGCAGCCTTTGTATGGCTATTCCGCAGTTGATGCACTTCATCGTAATCCACAAAAAAATCCAAAACGTAAAACAGTTACTCCAGTATTATTAGCAAGGTTAACAGAAACACGCTGTCAAAAGTGTCAAACACGTTCCGTTTCGTTTAAGTTTTTTTTTCTTGGTGATTTGAATAAAAATAAAACATAACATTATTATAATGCGAGTATTTTATAAAATGCAACTCAAACCAATGAATACAGTTTCGTATGAATAAAATGTTCCTAGTGTAATGCATTTGTCGATCATAATTCATATCACACGTTTTCTACGAGTGTAGTTAAAGACACATGGTTTGGAATTGGAACGTGTTTTTATTTATCTTTCTCTATGGAGTATTATGGCGAAACTTGACAAACGATAAGTTGATTTTGTTGCATTACTTTTGCATTTTTTTAATAATAATTGTCAGGTCTGGAGAGGCTAAAAACTACGTAATAATTCATATTTCTATTTGTATTTTACAGTGTATTAATTTTGTTCGTGTACGTGGAATGTACTTTTTTGGCCATGTCCTTTCCTTATCTTATAAAGAAAAAAGAAACGGTTGAATGAGGAAGAAATGTTAGTATGAACGAACGAAAGGATAAGAGAAGCATAAGTGGTATGTGTAAATGAATGATGATATGATGATGTCGCGAAAATGAAGTAACCAGAGAAGACCGAATACATGCTCAAATAGTTTTGGGCTTAGCTAAGGACCAGCTCTGATGAACTACCATCGGGATAAGAATTCTGAAGTCGTCTAGTATTCAAAAAATATGGGAACACTGCAGTAAATGTATAGTGCCATATATTATTATGTGCAACGGTTTACTCGTATTACATCTGGTTTAGTTGACTGGGCAAGGTTTGCCGCGTAAGTAACTATCTTTCAATCGAGACACAATACAAGAACAAAATGTGAGCGAACGCCGACGTTCGCTAGGGGTTTGATGAATAAACCATCAAATATAATCGAAATAAGACAAAGTTTAATTAATATAATCTTATCGAAAGTTATAATCCCAACAATTGCATATGGCACTAAAAGACGTGATATGATGTTATACGTACTAAAAGTAACAGTCAACCTAAAATACAAAAAGATACAATCAAACATCCCGTACATGAACATAATCTCGAAAGCAACTCAAATAAAATAACCCAACTTGACAGAAACGAGAGCAAATTAACAGACGTTAATAATGGGCATATCATTGTAATTACAATCGATCGTTGAGGTCATAAATAATGAGGTCAAATCGTGAGACCTGACCTGATGCGACAGATGTTCAGACCTGAACTAAATCACTGTATAATTGAATTTTACGTTTCTGATGAATTCGGACCATAAGTTCAAAGTTGCTTAGCGACAAAATAATTTGTTTTCCATAATTATAACGTTTGCTTTGCACGATTGTGGTTGTCAGCGTGGTGGATCAAGTTTTTTTGGTTCACTGGTTAAGGTAATGCTTCGTTGATTTTTGTGGTTATTCGTTAGCTGTAGTTCACAGTGCTAAAAGAGCACGAAAACGAATTTCGGTTCCCATAATGCTGATAATGTTGATGACAAATGATTCGCGAAAGTCATTCTTTTAAAATCTTTAACAGCTGCAGATCTGTAGCTATCTTATCCTAAAGTAAATGATGAAGTAAATGACGCTAATATAAAATATACAACGAAGTCAAAAATGTGACTGCTCATATTTACTTTCACTTACTACAAGGTAATCCGTCTTATCGTTATAAAAAAATACCGTCATATCGCCTTAAACGTTTAATAAAAAAATACTATACTAAATAAAAATACAATACCCTTAAATTTCTTTCTGACTGATACAACTTGAATAATGACACACAACACTATCATAATAATTCTGGACAGTAAGATAAAGAACTCAAAACTAATATTCTTATTTCCAGCTCGAGGCAAAAAGAAGAAGTTGGCAGTCATAGTACCACTGCTGACGCTGTTTGCAGTTCTTAAACTGAAGCTGTTGCTCATTCCAATCCTGCTGTCAGTCCTGTTGATCAAGAAGCTGCTGTTGATAGCTGCTTTGTTACTTCCAAGCGTGTTAAGCACACTGAAGGCTTGTAAGGTATGAATCATTTGAATATTTTTGGAAGTTTTTGTGATTTTTATTGTAAGGTCACTTTGTACATAAGTTCTATATTTTATTGATTTCAAACTTTTCATCGGGTAAACAAACATCTCTTGGGGTTGTAAGATGAAATTGCAAAACATCAGATGACATTTTATTACAATAACACACCATATCGGAATGACGGTCCAGATAAATTCTAAGTTCTCACTGCTGCGGTGGGACTCATAACATCACCTGATTCAATGAAGATTGTATTTGCAAATGGATGAACGTCTATATTCTTATCGTGAATATAATCATCAAGTGGAATAAATATTCCTACTGTTAGATCGCCAGCTAGAACAACCTTATTCCATTTTCACAAAGCATCTGCTCCACATATTTATTAATTTAATTAACTCCAGTAATTTACTAATGACTACTTCAAAACGTAACTCGACTAGAATTCCTAATTAATAGAAAAGTAAATGAGGCTAACTGAGAATGGTAGGGCAACCCTTTTCAAAATCCCTTGACAGGGGTCTAGTATACGTTTCCTGGGGTCCAGGTAAAATGCAAATAAATTAAACTGTATCCTTTCATGTGACTTTTACTCTTTATGGAAAGTTTTTCATTAGCATTGTTTTATGTTGTGTATATAGGGTGGGTGTCATAAAATTGAGAGGTTTGTAAATGTTCCGTTCATCATAAACAGCTTTAACTGTCCATTTTTGAGTTATTCGCCTCAACAAGGGTGGGAATGTGGAAGTTTAAGCGTGGGAGAGCCATTCTAAGTGTGGGAGGGCCATGTTTCGTCATGAATGATGAGCATGAAATAGGCCGGCTCGACCGGAGTGATACCACGGCTACACACAAACCCGGCGTGAAGCAACACTTACATTGTGTTTCGCAGTATAAGTGAGATTACTGGAGGCCTAATTCTTTACCCCATCCTCAATCCTTAAATCCCCTATCCTTAAATTCAAAAACCCACAAGCCGGCAACGCACTTGTAAATTCTTTGGTATTGCTAGTATCCATGGGTGGCGCTGATTGCTTACCACCAGGTTTCCATCTGCTCGTTTATCAACATATGATATAAAAAAACATATAATGTGAGAGAGCCAAGTTATGCCACGAATGGGCCAATGTGGGCCGGTTCGATCAGAGTAAAGATCCTACGAAACAAAGCCTATGTGTGTTGTGTGAGTCAGGTTCCCGGACTCCCAAATCTACTATATCTACTAATCTCCAAAATGCACCTGTAACTCCTCTTCTGATATTGCGGGCATTGGGCAGCGTCAATTGCTTAACATCAGATGATCAATCTAACCTTGTGCCACCCTATGAAATAAACAATTAGGTACAACATAGTTTGACACGTACCAAGAGATTGTAGTATAAAATAAATCAGAACAAAATAAAAAAAGAAAATAAAACATTTTATTCAAAACAAAAATATAGGGAATTGATTTTTGTACATACTATATACCTGTATACGAATAAAAAAAATATGTCGCATTTTTAAATTACCAATTTTACCGGTCGGTTTTTCGGTTTGCAACTGTATAATCTAATTGAGCAATTTAACCCAATCATTGCAGATTGTAGCAATTTTCCTTTAAAATTTGGGCTTATCGCGATATTTTATGATATACTGCGACCACAGGATGGTGTGGTCTGCAATTTGTAACGTTAAATGCGTATACCATTGGTGGTTGGCGGCCATTTTTGAGAGTTAGTGATTTAATATCAAATAAAGAATAAAAAATATTAATAATTAATCTTTAAATCCAATAAGGAATAAAAAATATTTATTTATTAATCTTTAAATCCAGTAAAGAATAAAAGATATTTATTTATTACTTTTTACAAATAAATACACATTAATCCTACTTTCCTACGAATGCTACAAATGTGAAAGTTTTTGAGAGTTAATGGATGTATGTTTGTTATTCTTTCACTCAAAAACTGCTGGCGCGATTTGGTTGAAATTTGGTATGTAGATAGGTTATGCCCTAGATTACAATATAGGCTCTTTATCAATTTAACACGCAAAAGCCATTCGTAACTCAAATTACTTGCATTACGATAAAGAAATAAAATATTTCTATTAATTAAATAAAAAATAGATTTTAGCGATTACAAAGTTCAAATCGAAATTGATGTGTTCCTGACTATAAAGCTTAAATAATAATTTAGTGTCTGAAATAATTCTCAAATTTTTCTTTTATTTACCGTCGTCAAGGAAGCTATAACGTAAAAATAAAAAATTATGAATTTCGAAAAAGCATGAAAATTATGAATTTCGAAAAAGTATTTTTTTTATGGAATAGGTCGGCAAACGAGCAGGCGGATTACCTGAAGGTAATTAATCAGCGCCGCGCAACGGAGGAGTTACGTGTGCGTTGCCGACCTTTTAGGGATTAGGGTCTGGAGATTTAGGGATTTAGGGATTGGAAGGGATCGGGGGAGGGAAAGGATTAGGCCTCCGGTAACCTCATTCACACGGCGAAACACAACGCTGTGGTTGTTTCACGTTAGTATTCTGTGAGTAGTTAAAATAACAAAATAAACAAATTTTGGGTACTGCTATTTTGTTTAATTAAAACATTTCATAGGAATACAATAAAGCCAATCAAATTCTCAGTAATAATTTTCCTTATAAGTACATATCTTTTTCTCGTTACATCTTAATTTTAACTAATAGAAATAATTTGTAAATAAAATTACGACCTTGATATGACAATAAACATTTTTTGACGTATTATGATTATATTAACGTTTTTTCCTCCACTAAATAGCAAATTAGAGATAAGGAAATACACCTGAATTATTATTTTATTGTAATAAATTTGTCGTTATGGCCAAGAATACCAAAAAAAAAAAATCCGTCAGATACAATAAGAAAAATGGATGGAGGTTTGAAAATGATGGTGTAATTGATAAATATTTGATTTGATCAAAATTTTTCTTCTTTCCTTTCACGGGACCACAGGGTCCCGGACCTTTGGAAGGCGTATGAGGAGCCGTGGCCCACTCGCAGAGGCCCGTTGAACAGTTTTAAACTAAATGTGATGGGTCATCAGCCGGCAATTATCCCTGTATGCACTATATAAGTGCACCCAAAGACAATCCCCGGTTAATGCAGGACTATTGTGCAAAATGGTAAAAGATTATATGGTTTTGGATGTGGGTGGCTATGGACTAGTAGATGATAACTTTTGAAATGCTATGGCCCCTGCCCCTGACCAAAATTAATTATTATTATTTTACCAAGAGCTTCTCCCGCGGCTTCAAATACGTATAAAAGTAATTTATCCCGAAAAAAGCAGTAGCGTTTAAAGCGGTAACTCGACTGAAATACACAAATCAAGTTTAATTTGTATAACATAAATCTAATAGTTCTTTCCTCAAAAGAACACTACTGAATGAACTTGCACGGTCTCACATATAATTATTTAATATTGCTCAAATGCTCACACAATATAATTATTACCTCTGAGTTTAGGATAGTTTTTTATCAAAACTTGCTGGAAGTCACTGTTCTACGCGAACAAACTCGCGGGTAAAAGCTAGTGTAAAATAAAATAGCTGTTTTATGGCATATTGAACTTCATCATCATCATCATCAGCCTATAAGTACCCACTGCTGAGCAAAGGCCTCTTCTCACACGGAGAAGGTTTGAGCATTAATCATCACGCTTGCTCAATGCGGGTTGGCGATTTCAAACTTATAATTAGACATTATAAGTCTAGGTTTCCTCACGATATTTACCTTCACCGTATGTCTGTGGTGTCTAAATAATCATAGAAAGTACATATAACTCGGAAAAAGTCACATTGGTACTTGCCAGGTTTCGAACGCACACCCTCATGCATGAGAAGCGGGCGCCCAAACCCCGGGGCCACCACGACATTTATTGAATATTGAACTTAACTGTACTTAACTTTTCTTTGTATTTTTTTATAGAAGACGTTGCCCCACTCTAGGCTTGTCTCCTGTATCGTTGGTGCGTTTATAAACATACACACCAGACCCAGACCCGGAACAAAAATTCGTGTTTGTTTCATTGATGCATATTTCGAAAGACATACATCCAAAATCTACAATTATAATTGCTTTCGCTCAATTAACAATACACAATGAGTATTGTCGAAAACCGTCCAATCAGAAATCAATTAGTTCGAAATGTGTTTGGTGTGAGCGAATGTGATTCGTTTAACATTGCAAGGTCTTGCATTGGTCAAATTGTGTGTTTCATTTCGCGTTGAATCATCCATTGAGGCTAAAGCAATCAGAAGTTAACGCGCAGTGTATGCAATTTTGACACAATGGTTATTTTGGAGAGACATTTTAACATCGAGTCTGTTCTACATAATTAGGTAGGTTTGTAATCCTCGTCATCATAATGTCGTGGTGCCCCAAAGGTCACGGCATCAACTTAAAGTTTCTCATGCATGTAGGTTGTAGGTTTCAAAACCAATCTAGCAATGTAGAGTGTAAGGGAAAGTCATCAAATATCTTCTCTCGCCCGGCGTTAGGCAAGAGGTAGTGTCAGCATCTTACTGACTAAAAACCTTCCCGTTCATTCTTTTGCTTTAGTAAGAGTCCGCGGTACCTTCAAACATAGGCTTAGTAGATAGTTTCTTAAAATCATCTACCCATTATTGGGCAAACGAAGTGATTATAGGCCTTTCCTGAGCAGTGTGCCCTTACATATATGCTGATGATGTGATTTCTCATTATCGTCATTAACTACATTCCTCTCCGTGACATTTAGCACATGAGTTGGGATAACCTGATGGTAAGCAATCACAGCTCACTGTCACCCGCAACATTGGAAGAGTTGCCAGCAATTGTGTTGCCGACCTTTCGGGTTTAGGAATAGAAGATGGAAGGGAGAGAAGTAAGGCTTAGACGGCATTTTTATATGCTTCTGAAGCTAATTTTCTATCAACACATTTCTGAACTGTGTATCCCAGTGTCTTATCGTCCCATCGCGACTCAAACGC